GGCGAAAACGCCAGCGCCATCTTCGCACCGCCACGGGGGGCTGGGCGGCACATGTTACTGAGGGAAAGAAAACGAGGGAGAGAGAGAAGGACAGAGATTGTCTAGATTTTCATGTGTTAATTTTCTAGTCTGACTGCACCTCGCTCTAATTTACAGCCACTGAGTCTTGTCAGACCTTTGGCTGCGAAGCTGCAGAGCTTGCTGTAAAAGCTTTCAGCCCATCCAGGCACTTAGGAGCTCTCTCCCTTTATCAGCCTAATAAATCATGTTTTCTTCCATTAGGCCTATGTTTTCCAGCTTCTTAACCATTCTCATGGCTCTGAGGAGGTCCACTTTACCAATGCCTCCCGTGAAACGGAGGTCTTACGGTGCGTGGGGCAGGGGGCCCCCCGCCTGTCACGAGAGCCGATGGACGCATGGGATGGAGGAGACGGAGACCCACCTCGGAGGCTGCCATTCCCAGCAGCAGGAAAACGTGGCCAGGAGAGGGTCCCCCAAGGCCCCCCACTATCCCTTGCCCTGGCTGCTGCCCAGGCTCCGGCTGGATGGGGCATCCCCACGGCACCATCTCCTGCCTCGTTCACTACATCTTTCCTCTGAACCATCTCCAAACTCTGCCGGTAACCACGTACTTCTTCACTGGCCACAAATAAATAAAAATACAGCAAAGGGTCGAATCGCAGCAGCACTTCAGTGCTAATTCTCTGCTTACATCCTCTAGAGCGAGACCTAGCAGATTGCTTTTCCATTGAGCTAAATGAAAGGGAAACTAACACAGTCCAGTACGGTCTAATTCAAAATGACAAACAGGGCCTGTTCACAGATTTATCAGAAAAAAGAACGAATTTCCTCTTTGATGATCAAATTCATAATATAAGAAAAAAAATATTTCAAATTGAGCCAATCCATTTTCCTTTACACCCACCTTGGCAGTTGTTATTATATTACTCTCCCTTAATTTTTAGTTGACCGACCTCCAAGTCGGATTTTTTATTATTTTATATATATTGTCCCTTTTCATTTCAAATACTTGGGTCATCCACTTTACCTTTTAAATACTGGCACAGTGTTTGCTTTTTCAATCTTGCAGAACTGTAATGCTCAAAAATTACTGGAAAAAAAAAAGCAGTATCTGTTGATAGAGCTTCTTGGATAGTTCTTCTAAAACTTTTGAATGAGAATTTTTCAGACTTGCTCATTCAAAAATCTTTCATTTTAATTAGTGTGTAGGGCTTGCTTTCAATGGCTGTTAATCAACATCCCTGAGTTATTACCGGAATGAGAACGTCTATGCTACTACTGCTGTGAACCAGAAATTACTTAGCGGTTTAACTGTCCAATGACCTGGCCAATTTTCGGTGTTACGATATTAAATGACTTGCAAATTACTTAGATAACTTATCTAAACATGAGCATAGCTTCCGAATACCCATCAGGAATTCTACACCTCTTTCAGCTGTAGCTGGCCCTGCTTCCAGAGCAGCAGCTTCAGGAGGACAACGGAGGAGGGAGATGATCCAGAAGCAAGTTAGAAAGGCAGGACAAGGGATCTTTCCTGTTGTCTCTGTAAGAGGTTTGCTTTCCTGTGCAGGGCTCTACTTCCACTACCAGGGCACACGACTGCTCAAAAGTGCCTAGGCTCAACTCCAAGAAATATATACACACTTTTACCAAAACGGACTTTTGGGCAATCAGAGGAAGGGCAGAAAGACAGAGAATGCTCATTCGGGTCTCCCAGGCACAGCAACGCCTGCAGAAACTGAAATAACTCTTCCCTCACTAGAACTAGATGCACCCAAGTACCGCATATATCAAGATGTGTTTATGAAGAATGAGGATTTTTCGAAAAGCTCTCTGTAGCATAGCAAAGAAAGGGGAAAAAAATTCACAAAGACGTTGACAAGTTTAATTTTTTTCCCAAGGATGACTGTCAGCTTCAGGGAAGTAAAGTTGCAGGGGCTTGAAGTGTGGAGATTTCACAAATCTACATTTTTCAAGTCTCAAAGGTTTAAACACAAATGTTCTGCATCTTCACACGGCACATTTGCTGCATCAAATAAGCATTGAATTTTTTAGCATACGAATAACTTAAATGATTTTGCATGATCTTTAAAAAAATACTTGTTCACGAAATCGGAAAATTTCAACTGGAAGTGTTAGAATATTCAGAAGAAAACGAGTATGTGAAACTAAATGAGTAGATTTAATTCTCAACTGCTGTTCTGTAACTGCTATCTTGCAGTTACAGATAGCTTGCCATGAAAGATTGTAAAATCTCATATCCTTTACTAACCCCAGCTTTCCTTGGAAAACCCTAACTACCTTTGCCAGAACTTTCCCAGCTCATCCTCAAAAACTTTTCATCACGCAAGATCAAAGTGCCATAAAATCCCTTCTCGCAGGGTTTAACAGCCACTAACATGGATCAGCATTGTAGCTATATGCAATCTAAGCATATTGATTTAAAAAAAAAAGTAAATTTGAAAAGAAGCCTCCTGTAATCACACACACACACACAAAAGAAAAATCAACCACATTTAAAACTATTCAGCTCTTTCATTTTCTTGATCATATACTCAATAACAGTGAAAGGAGTTCATTTTGAAAAGGCCAAAATGTTTTAAAGTTAGAAAATGATAGGAACCTCTTTGAGCGAAGTGATGCTAAATAGAGTGATAGCATCAAAGAGTTAAAATTAAAACCATGACTAATTCCTGATAAATCAAATCTAATGAATAAGATATGCTTAAGACATCACATACGGCAGCAGAAAAAATAGTGTACCTGTGCTAGGGAGGGAGAATAGCAAATCAAAGAAAAAAAAAGTGCCTTTATTCTACTAGATTCAGCTAACAAGTAATAGAATATTAGAGTAATGACCAGTACTATTAATAACAATTAGTCTCAAAGGGAGCTGCATGAAGCAAATCTTGACGGAGAGAGCAGAAGAATTTACAGAGGAACAACCCTGTTGTTGCTAACCAGCCAAAGCAAGAGGCATCTACCTGCAGCATGAGGACTGCATCTCGCCAGGAAAAAAACACGGCGCATCCTTCCGAGGCCCCGGAGCAGGTGAGCAGGAACGGGGAAAGACCCGTGGCTTTTAAAAGGCCACGGGAAGGGGCCTGGCATCCCGGCTGCACGGGATTCCAGCTGGATTCCAGCCCGCTGTGCCCGCGGCCCCCCCGGCTGCGCTGCAGTGTCCCTGGCCCGCGGAGGCAGCACAGGCAGAAGCGTCGGCGCCGCAGGGCAGCGCGGCGGTGACTCCCCCAGGATGGAATAGCCGGGGCTGGGTCACTTCGGCATCATCACCCACGGCCGCAGCAGAGAGCTCTCTGCTCTGAACGGGTTTGAACTTGGCACGGGAACAAGCAATCTCGCCCTGCCCGGCGCGGCTGCAGGATTTGCACTGGCAGGGATGTTTCCTCAGCTGCAACTGGGCGCTTTCACCACACGTTTTCATCCAGGGGGACCAACACGTCCTCCCCAGCATCGCCGGTGAAGTCGCTTCTGGGGAAGCATCACGCATCGCACACGTGTTCAGCAAAGGGGGAATACATGCACACGTCCTGTAAATGACACCTTTTGGTACAAAAAAGAGCAGTTTGGGCCTGCTATATAAATCAGGTACAATCATCAGCATACACACAAAAAGAAAATCTGAAAAGATGCTCTGTGAAAATTAAAATCCTCCAAACCAAGCCACTCCTTTAACACCATGAACATGAAACAGGATGGACGAGTTGACACTAGGCATTTTAAAGTATCAAGCACACAGTTCCGTTCACAACGGCATCGCTCGTCTCTGTGAGGACCTGGAAACCGACGCAAACCTGCCAGGCTGGAGAGGGAGATTTGGTGCCGTTCTTCCCTCACAGGGTTAAATGCAAATCCTCCCTCGCAGCCACGCTCCTGATGCCGGCTGCATCCACCGGAGACGCCACCCACCGCCGAGCGGAGCGGAGCGGAGCGCGCGCCGGGCAGCGCTTCCACGCCAGAGCTGCAGAGAGGCACCTCGCGGGAAGGAAAATAACACACAGATCTCTTCCCGAGCCTCGGCGAGCCCAGCGAGAGAGGCGTCTTCTATTTCCCCTCCTTGGCGTCGATAATGGATCGAAAAACAAACAGAAGGGAAAAGGAATATGAAGAGAAGCACAGCAACTCGGAGGGCTGTGATGCAGACAAGGACTATAAGACGTCTCTGATCACTCTGAACGTCGGGGGCTATCTGTACATCACACAGAAGCAAACGCTGACCAAGTATCCAGATTCTTTTCTCGAAGGCGTGATAAACGGGAAAATTATGTGCCCGCTGGATACAGATGGGCATTTTTTCATAGACAGAGATGGACTTCTTTTCAGGCACATCCTCAACTTCCTACGAAATGGAGAACTTCTGCTGCCAGAGGGGTTTCGAGAAAACCAACTTCTGGCACAAGAGGCAGAGTTTTTCCAGCTGAAAGTACTATCAGATGCTGTGAAATCCAGATGGGAGAAGGAACAGCTAGCATGCAGGGAGACGACTTTCCTGGAAATCACCGACAGCCACGACCGTTCACAGGGTCTCAGGATCTTTTGTAATGCTCCGGATTTCATAGCCAAAATAAAATCTAGAATAGTTTTGGTGTCCAAGAGCAGGCTGGACGGATTTCCAGAGGAGTTTGCAGTATCTTCAAACATTATCCAATTCAAATACTTCATAAAGTCGGAGAACGGCACACGGCTCGTCCTGAAGGAGGACAACACCTTCGTCTGCACCCTGGAAACTCTCAAGTTTGAGGCTATAATGATGGCTTTAAAATGCGGATTCCGGCTGCTGACCAGCCTGGACTGCTCCAAAGGGTCGATCGTTCACAGCGACGCGCTGCATTTCATCAAGTAACTCCCGAGGCCAAGGAAAAGCAGGAGGCCCCCGGGGCCCGTGCGAGCGAGGCGAGGCGGCGGGACGCACACCCCCCGGCACCCGCCTCCGGGCCGCCGCGGCTCCGCGCGCCTGAACTCAACACAACCGGTCTGCTGAACGCCGAAAGCGCAGCCTGAACGTTGCTTCGTGCTGCTTGCGATACGTGTTTTCCTCCCGCTGCCTTCCGGCCGGAGCGCCTGCCTCGATTCCTGCGTACTGGTATGCCTAACGTGCACACACCTAACTGCGCTGCTCAACGGCGGCGAGAGCATTTTCATATCGTATGCAAGCTTAAATATGTTCTGCTCATAACGAATTCAGAATGGATTTTAACTGGAATAAATGATCTTGAATGTTCTTTAGTGTTTATGCTAATCTATCGTGCTGGATTTGCAACACCATGAGATTGCAAGAAGGTTTCGAATTAATCAACTTGAATTTAAAGTTAATTAATCAACTTGATTTGATTTAATTCTCAAATTAATCACCTTGATTTTTTAACACATGATTTATCAGCTCACTTAGTTGAAACCAAGTCTGCAGCTGTATTACTGAATGCCTAACCATTTCTAAATACACCTAAAATAGCAAAATAATGCTGAGGGGGGAATTAGTTCCATTAGTGGAACCGAGTTGAAACTGCATGTTAATTTCTCTAGTTTTTCTTATATATGTATATGCGTTTTATATAAAACAGCTGAGAACAACGTTGGGCATAAAGTTTCATGTAACAGGTTTCCAGGAATGACATCCCACAGTGCTCCAGTCACTATTTCCCACTAGTGAGTTTTGATCACAGAGGCAGGCAACTAGCACAGCCCTCACTTTGCACAAAGGTTTGGTTTAAAAGCAAGCAGAACTAGCAGCTTTCAATAGATCACCTGCTGCCAATTAAGATGCATCAGTGTAAGTAGCAGGATAAATAGCTTCTTCCTCCTCATCTTCCTGACATATCCAGCCATTTCACTTGCATTTTAATCAAGTGTTAACATATTCTACGAAACAACCCTAACTAATGTAGCTATAAATATTACAAACCAGGCATTCAGCAAAGGTAGACAGAAAAAAAATATCATAAAAAAGGAAGCTTCACCAGTTCTTTCCGAGTTCAGGTTTTGTTTGTTATTGGATCCAAAGTTCATTTACAGCTCAAATGAACCCCAAATTAAAGCAAAATGCTATTAAAGGCAGAAAAGAGCCTACCAAGAGATTTCTCAACTTTCTTAAAATGTTAACTTCCTACATAGGGAGAAAGTACTAAGAATGTCAAAATAAAATGCAGCCCTAGCCACGCTAGAAGTGACAACTGAGGAAAACAGCTAACATAAGCAGGCTGAGAACAGTTTTGTCTTGGAACGAGACCTTTGTTTTTTAGGAAAGAACAAACACATTTTTAGTAGTGACCAGGAACACAAACCCAGCGCCCACTAATCCTTCCTCGTGGATCTGTACTCACCTGTAGCATGCACTGACTGTTGTTAAGCAGGTCCCTTGCCAGAGATGATTTTACAAAGACAGACAGACTCTAGATCTCCAGACCAGGCAGTAGTAACATGAAAATAAGATTTTATCAAATGGGAAAATCCAACATCTCTAAAACACGGCTTCAAAATTAACACATTGACTTAAAACCATGAACTTTTACATCCACGCTCCAAGTTACAGCCTGAAGGATCATAAACCATGTAGTTTTAAATGGAACTTCTCCAAGCTAAACTATTCAAAAAACAGATCACGGTAAATTCCTGATAATCAAAGAAGAGTTTGTGTGTCCCAAAACTTTTCTAAGCTTGTCCAAAATCATTAACTATCTAAAAACAAACAAACAAAAAAAAGCAAAATATAACTCTTTATAAACCCATGTCTTTTACATTCCTATGCCATCCAAGCTAGAAGCCTAATACTATGTAGTGTATGTGTTTTTTCCCAAATAAATTATTTTCACATTCAAAAATGTCTTCAGAAGTATCTTCAAAAAACCTCATTAACCATTAATCTTGTACATATGACAATCTCTAGGACTTTTGTGCAAAGTAAATGTGAAAGCTCACCAGAAAAATTCAAACTCTGCAGGTTTTCTAAGAACTCGAAACACTGCTGCACTGAACAAGTCATGAAAAAAAATCTGTATACTTACTGTACATGAGGTAGAAATACTGACTAGACAATCTAAAAAAAGCTCCACAACTGATCTACGAGTTGGAAAGACGCATGCTCGCAGTGCTGTCAAATACATAACCTATCAAAGCACAAAGTCTGGAGGAGGCTGTTGCTTCTGAGATGTCAAATCATCCATTTTCTCTGAAATGCTTTTGGTTCTAACCTTCAGTTATAATGATTACTTGACTGAGATATAAAATGTTTGTACAGTGTAAAAGAAAAAAAAAGAATAATTACTTTCAATTTCAAATGATCAATAAAATAAACTGTGGTTGTTTGCCTTTTGATTGGACTCTCAGGAGGACACATATCAAGGAACTGCCAGCAGTTTAATATCAAAGAACAGCACCAGATTTTCATCGTGGAATGACTGCACTCACGGAAAAGCAGCAGAGAATTTGATGGTTCTGCATTTGTTACATTTGCCTTTGCAAAAAAGAAATTCATACACACACCGGTAATCTCAGACAATACCCACACTCTCTGAAACACCTTGTAAGAGTACTTTGCAGCTATTCTTCTGAAATTCATTGGAGACCTTTCATTTGCCAGGCCACTGGTTCAGAGTACCTATTCCCCTCTTATTCTCTGAAAAAGAAAAAGCAGTTGAACACCATTCTTTCATCTGTAGTGAAAATGCATATATCTAAGTAAAAAGGAATTCCTCTGCTGTTGTATTTTTGCCTTTTAAAATACAACAATCATTACATTAAACATCTTCCACTGCAAATTTTTCTATCTCTGTGTCAATTACACTGACATCAATGGCATAGATGTTAATCTGCCATACAGCACCTGCAGCAACACTAACTTCAATCTTGTGTTTCTTTCTCATTTTCATGAGTGCCCATGTTTGTACAAGTGTTAGGATTTGAAAATTTTATGTGCTGTCTCTGGTCGAGGGCACCTCACTCAGCTGCTTGATTTGCACAGCAGAAACAGAAGGCAGATGGGGAACAGGAAAAACTTTCTCTCTGCTATTTACATTGAAAAAAAAAAAAAAACCTTGCAAACATGTTGAATCATATCGTATCTGCTACGATCAGATGCTTCAAACTATTTATAAGCTTGAACAATTTTTCAAACCAAGAGGGGGTCTTCTTTTGGCATATAAAGAAAGTGACCATGTAGAACTTCCATACTGTGAATACTGAAGTTGCCTTTTCAGTCTGCAGATGCTCACCAACAAATACATGTTGCATATGATCACTGTTACTTACGTTGATGCTTCTGCTCCACTACTGTAGACTATGCTGGGAAAGGTAACTGGTTACATAGAAGCTAATTTTTCAGTCTTTAAGTTGAAAGTTGCATCCCTGATTCTACTCTGGCAAAGGTAAAGCTGCAGAGTCGAGTGTGAAAGTTAGAAATACCAACATTGTTCTGAATTTACTTGGCAGACGATAAACATGCAAGGTATTCCTATTCCTCTTTCTCTCATTAAGAGTTAGATCACAAAATTGCCCTACAAGTAACAGAAAAGAATTGTAATTTTCGTAATTTCTCCAACGATCTTCAATCGCTCAGGTAAGAGCAGTAAGCAGGGTAGGAGTAACAAGCTGCCCACGCTGGGCCCCCAAGCTAAGACTCAGCTTGATGCCTTGCGCTGGGTCAGCTCCTCCCGCGTGGAAGGAGGGCAGCCCAGGGGGCAGCTCAGGAAAGGCAGCGAGCTGAAGGCGCCACGACACCCACTGTGGACAAAGAATATCCTCGTGTCTCGTGAACACCCCGAACGGCTGCCTCTAGGAACCAAAACTGACCAACGTGCCGTCGCGCAGCCTCCTCCCACACCTGTAGGCCCAACGTTTCCATGAGCAGAGACGAAGCCGATCCCGCGGCAGCACAGCTGTCACAGCATCACTTATTCGCCTTGTTTCTACCTAAAAGCAAGCATGGGTGCAAGAGGTTCCCAATGTGATTGTGAGCTCTGTCTCCAGCCCCTCGTCCTTCACCCATCTGGTCAGAACGCCCATTCTTGATGCTCTGACCATCACATCGCCCCGCTCATCTTGCTTGCCCCAGCACCACACGTCTGCGTTCTTCTTTTCTCCTACCCCTCTGCCCCTTTCACAGGGGCTTTGACAGGGCCTGGGCATCATCCTGGCTCCTAAGAAGAGGAATTAGTAACGACAGTGGCCAAAGGCAGAGGGACAGGTTTGCAGGACAAACATGCACGATGCCCCCCCACATCTCTTGCTCTCCAATCACTAACTGCCAGGGAGCCAGATGTGGTTCCTGGAGCCAGCCTGGATGCTAAGGATACCCAGGCAGTGCAAAAGGCTGTATTAAAGCTATTGCTGTGTAAAATCAGTGCCTGTCTGCCTGGTGACCAGTGTTCCACAGCATCATAACTGCACCACTGACATTTTCATGCACTTGTGTCTTATTTTCAATTGTATTTTTGCATTTGGGTGGGTGGCAACTGGTCACATCTTTCTAAAGGTAGCTAAGATGTATTTACACCCAAGAAGCAAAACAACATTACAACATCCTTAGCACCAATGACTGCCATGGGCGCTTCCCCTGTGAGTTAAAAGCTTGACAGATTTTATGTTCAGTAAAATGGGAACAGCTTAAGAAACGTTTCATCCTCCTCTTCTTACCACTAGTACAAGCAGAATGATGGCAGACAACAAATATTACAATTTAATAATGGCAGTGCCAAACGCAAGAATTTGTTTATTTGGGTAAAAAGGTCAGACTGCCCTAATTCTGCTGCAAAATAAATCAAAAATGGGGAATTAACCTGAGTATCTGAGAAAATACTCTTTTTTGGGGGGAGAGGGGGCTGGAAATATTTCAGCTTTGCTAGATAGCTATTATCTATCTGTTTTACAAAGCA